CTGATAGACGGGGGCTCGAGTCTCGACATATGCCCATTGACTACTTTGAAAAGATTGGGTATAAGGCTGCATAAAATACGGATGGGAAGTATGAACGTGAAGGTGTTTGATGGGTCTCAGAGAGCTACTATTGGAGAAATCAACCGTGATCTGCAGATGGGCCCGACTTGGTTCGACATTGAATTCCAAGTGCTAGACATATCCGCCACCTACAACTTGTTATTGGGATGACCATGGATACACGCAGCTGGGGCAGTCATTTCTACTCTGCACTAGGCTGTGAAGTTCGAGTGGAATCATCAAGAGGTGATTGTTGCACCATATTTTGCATAAGACAAAACAAACTACAACTTATAGTACTCTACAAGTTTAACTAAAGTTTAGAGTCGCCACCTAGTATTTAAGGTATACTAGGAAACCTATACTACACTACGTAATATACATTTGATTATGGTCTACGAAACTATTGAGATTCTGAGTAAGGGTTCAAGTTATCTCGAGGAAAAGGTGTTAGGCATCCCTCAAGATCCACAAAATATGGTTCCTATGGACTCGATCAAATAAGTGAGGGAAGGATCAAAAGAATGATTAATTTAATATTATACAAAGAATTATGAAAATGATTTGGAATGAAGAATGATTGAATATGAACGTCACTAGGGATATTTATGTGTAACAGAATATGTGCTAGGATGTGGATAAAAACAGTATGTGAAAGAGTTACATTTTAATTACTAAGTGAAGTATATCATCAAGTAAAGTATTTACAAATTAACCAAATGACTTTGAGATGAAAGGAATAATCTCGAAAGAATTTAGTTGCAAACAAGATCAACTATTGTAAAAACGTGTCTAGAAAATGATTAACCGAGAGTGAAAAAATGAATTACCTTTGAATAGTTTTTTCTTTATGTGATGAATAGGGTAAGAAGAGAGTTGATTAATATTTACAAAAAAATTATGAAAATAAATAAACCAAAGGATAATTAATTATGGCAAATGAATAATGAAATAAGTTTATATTTATGTGCATGTGAATAACAAAATATATGAAATGACTTTAAATTTTTTTGGAATTGGTGAACAAGATGTGAAGAATGCAATTTAATATTTTTAAAAGAATGGATTAGGTAAGAAGGGGATAATATATGATTTGACTAAAGTACAAAGTTTAATGAAGGATAGGACAAAATGTAAGACAAGGTTAAAGGATGTACAAACACTATATCTTACACTTTTGTCACGACCCCAATTTTCCTTCGTAGGATGCCGTGACGGCACCTAGTCTCTAAGACTAGGTAAGCCTAACACTTACTAAATTAATAGAAGAATTCAATCACCAATGATAAATATGAAATAGAAATCTTTATACACAACATACAATTCCCAAAACCGGTAGTACACGTCATAAGTTCTACTAACTTTGCTAGAAAAATTTCTAAATGCAACTGTTCGGGAACAGTACAATTAAAATATCAGAAGGTGACTCCGAGGCCTGCGGACGCGACGGCAAGTTTACCTTGAGTCTCCACAGCTCGACCAGTCAGCTAATAATCAACAACAACTGTGGCACCTGAAACTACACAAATATGTGCAGAAGCATAGTATGAGTACACCACTACGGTACCCAGTAAGTATCAAAACTAATCTCGATGGAGTAGTGACGAAGAGCAGTCAAGACACCTACCAGACTAAACAACCTGAACAAGTGTGAAGGTGAACTAACAGAGAAAAACAATATTAATATACAACTAAGCAGGATAAGGAATACCAAACGATACTTACAACGAGACACCAATAACAATAATATTTAATAGGAAGCAGTGAGGTAATAATGTCGTAGAGTAAGCTGGACACAGTCTAAGTCAGGTGAAATCAAAATAAAGGAAAAACCAGCAACAACTCAATAATAACAACCGATGTCACACCAGATTTGTTCAATCATTTTCACGAGGTACCGAACCTCATAATCACAGCTCACGGGTCCCAATTCTTGAACCCTAATCACTTGGCATCTTGTGCCCACATTACAACTCATATCTGCACAGACGACTCACATGCCAATAGAACATCTCTCACACATAAGGCAAGTAGACAAGAGTACGTATAATGGTTAATGACGTCAGGATTCACCTTTTGAAACTGATATGGGTGATTTAACACGTGTATGCTTGTGCAAGTGTTCCACCACAATTCCAGGCAACAAATAGGAGTAGAGACAATGAATGACCCATAAAAAACGATCACCAGCAACAACTCAATAATAACAACCGCTGTCACACCAGATTTGTTCAATCATTTTCACGAGGTACCGAACCTCATAATCACAGCTCACGGGTCCTAATTCTTGAACCCTAATCACTTGGCATCTTGTACCCACATTACAACTCATATCTGCACGGACGACTCACATGCCAATAGAACATCCCTCACACAGAAGGCAAGTAGATAAGAGTACGTATAATGGTTAATGACATCAGGATTCACCTTTTGAAATCGATATGGGTGATTTAACTACGTGCATACTTGTGCAAGTATTCCACCACAATTCCAGCCAACAAATAGGAGTAGAGACAATGAATGACCCATAAAAAATGATCACCACGAAATGTACAGTGTAATAAAAGCAGCAATGAAATTTGAAGCAACGACCAGCACAACAAGATTAGTTACATAGAACTGAGCAAAAAGTGCATCACAGAGGAAAACAACAATCAAAGACAAGTGCACAGAAAAGGGAAAATGACAATAAGAGCCCTCCCGAAGTACCGCCTCGTAGTCTCAAATCGTAAAATGAATCACAACTTTTCTTATATCACCGCGAGAGCCTTTATATTTAGTTTTGAAAATTATTTTTCCGAAATAGCATCCCGCGTTTTAGCCCATCTTATCACACTGCATGACTTCTAGTAGTTCCCATACTATCCACGTGTTTCAAACACACCTTATCCCACCGCATGCGTTTCAACATTCAGACCTTATACCACTGCAGGCGTATCAATAATAACAACAGCATGACAGAAACCTCGTGCAACACAATAACAACCGCACGGCAGAAACTTTGTGCAATTAACATAATAATTTTCTCAACAAAACACGTATGCCAAAAACATAACTCAAATAAATGGCTTTGACAATATGTGCCCACATACCACAATATTTCCTCAAAACAGTTTCAATATCACAACCATATATAGCCCTCGGCTTAACAACACTGAATAAAATAGCAACAGCGACAATAACACGATAATACGGCCAGTAAATCAACTCAGTAACTTCAGAATACAAAGAAAACGGAAGAACGAACTTACAAAGAAAGACACTACAGAAAATAATAGTACAACATAGCAATAACTCAACCAGGATGAGATAATGTGTAGTAATAATTCCACAAAAGTACAATTCAATGATAAGAGGGATGACATGAATCAATGATTCGAGTTAAGGATAAGTTAACAGTGATAAGCAATAACAAATCTTCATTTAAGGTTGAGCAATTACGGAAGAGATACTACAAATTCAATTAAGGATAACTTCAACTATTGATAGGCAATTACGGAAAAGATAATAATAACTTCAATCAAGGATAAACAATTACGGAAAGGATAGCACGGCAATAAAAGATGCAATAATTTCAGTTAAGGCACATAAGAGTTTAATCGGCAATAAGAGTAGAACATGAAGCAATCAATTCAAATTAAGACATATAAGAGTGAATTTAGTAAATTGGGAGTTTAACATGACAAAACAACTTCATATTTAATGAACATATGAACCTAAGAGCCCTAAACGGTCAAATTTCCATAAATAAGCCCGAGTGCGTACTCGTCACCTCGCGTACACGACCTTCACATGACATAACTAGCACAAATGATTCAAATCCAAAGGGATAGTTCCCCACACAAAGTTAGGCAAGATACTTACCTCAAAGAAGCTAGACTGATACTCTAAACTGACCTTCTCGAGTGAAACATACTCCGGACGGCTCAAATCTAGCAAAATTAACTCCAAATCATAAATAAAACTCATAGTAAATAATTTCGGATATTAAAGCTTCAATCTTTAATAAAAACTAAAAAGTCAACCCAAAAATAAAACCCAGAGCCCACACCTCAGAAACCGATTAAAATTCACAAAACCCGAACGCTCATTCAATAACGAGTTCAACCATACATAAATTAACAAATTCCGATACCAATTCGTCCTTCAAATCGTCATTTTACATTTTAAAAGATTTGTACAAAATTTTCCATTTTCTTCAACTCAAACTACTAATTTAATGATAAAAATAAAGATGGAATCATGAAACATAATGAATTCCGGGTGAAGAAGACTTACCCCAATGATTTGCTTGAAAAATTCACGAAAAATCGCTCAAATCCAAAATCTACAACTCAAAATATGATGAAAATAGCTAACCCTCAAATTATAGTACTTTTATATTCTGAACAGTTATAACACATCGTGATCGCAGAAAATTCCACACAATCGCGAAGGACAAAAATGAAGTCTACCAAAATAACCCTACGCGAAAGCGAACAAACAAATGCGAACGCGAAACATAGCAACCTCCTAATACGCAGCCTCAGACCCGATGATGCGAAAGTAGAGAACAAATTCCTGATGCCCTTTCCAACTCCAACTCTACGCGAACGCAGAATAAGCATCACGAACGCGGACATAAACCAACTAGACCTTACACAATCGCGTGCAAAATGTCGCGAACGCGAACAAAAACACTTTACAATTTACATAAGTTTCTCAACTATAATTCCATACTTAAGATGATGGAATAAACCAACTGGCCTAAGTTTCACAAAGAATGGTATGATAGTCCAACTATAATTTCATACTTAAGATGTGTCAATTAAAAAATAATTTATATATAAATGATTCAAAAAGGTGCTCATACAATTGTAAGACAAAGACAAAATTATCTATTTTATTTTTTGAAAGATGACACGTTTTTATTTTATGTATGTCTGATTTAGTTAGGTGAATGCATATCAATCACATTATGAATGTATTCAACCTAGCATACATGAATAATTTTTTGAACTCACATAACATACAACATTATGAATTACAGATTATTAAGTAGATGCAATTTCCTAAATGGTTAGCAAATAGATAATATTAAAGCAAGCAAACAAACACATCTATCTACTACTTTACTATACTTTTGGTTTTGGGTACATCCATGAATGGGAAGTACGAAGCGGGGATCGATGAGGTATTTGTCTTCGATCTTTTTCCAAATGCCGTCTTTCGAAAGAGGCTTCGTATAATAGTACCTCGCAAGACAAGAAAAGTAAAATTGTTAGCGAAATAATATAACATAAAAGATAAGTTAATAAAGTGGCATGTTTTGAAAATGTTTTTGAAAAATTGCACTTGAAAATGATTTGCAAAAATATTTTTGTTTATGAAAAATTGTTTGCAAAAAATGTTTTTCGGAAATTATTTTTGAAAAATAGTTTTAAAAATAATATAGGAGGTTTAGATATGTGTTTTTCGATATCCGCCTAGACATGAGGAAGGGAACCGTCTCGGTAACGACTCCGGTGGCCAACTTTGTCGCCCTCCATAGTTTTATTGGTTCATCGCATCTCGTCTTTTATTCCCCAATGTTTATTATCATCGTCTCGTTATTTTGGGCCCGGTTTAGAAGGTCGTTCGTGGAATCGTAGCCTCAAAAATTACTGTGATCGGCCTGTGTAGTATTCTTGTTCCAATCTGCATCTCTTGCCAAAACCGAGTCAATCAAACGGACCCAAGTTCTACATTAATAAAGAGCAACAAACAGTAGTGGTCAAACCCATGTGCTGTAACGGGTAATTCTCATGTAATGTGTCAAAAGAGTAAATGGGCTTTCACAAGAGAACCAAGAACAATCTGAAACGGCAGCCAACAGTGGTGTAACAAACCACTTTCAAACCAAGATATGGCATTAATCAAAAAGTATAAACTATCACCATACGGGTCAAACAACAAACAAAATACCCGGCGAACAGGCGACGCGAACTCACGAGTAATAACGTCCAAACACAGCAAACAATCACAACCAAAGGCCTCAAATTGTTGGATGAAAGCGCAAGAACCAGTGGCCGCAAAACTCAGAGGTGGCCAGAAAGATAAGGTTCCGGGTTTCTCTAGATTTTAGCTTCATTATCAAAGGCCAGCGGTGCTACTTCAACAGCGATGACTCCGGAATAGCACCAGCAACATCAAGAGAACATGGCTTCGCCGGAGTCGACCGGAAAACACAGATCCGGTCAGATCTGTTTGCGTTTGACCAAATAAAATTATTTCCGGCGGGTTTTGAACAAAGCCGTGAAGGAACAGAGATGGGGGAAGCTTTTTTTATCTCAAGGTTGAGGGAAAACAGATGAAAAATGAAGGAGGAGGTGGCTGTCTATTGAGAAGTGAGGGTGAGAGACAAAGGGGAATCTCCAAAGATGGATATGCGGTTGTTCTCTCTTGGAGTTGAGAGAGTCCCTTTTTGAGATAGGAGGAGGCTGAAGGCTACTAGACTCGCCAGAATCCGGTGTTTGGCAGAGGCAGCAAGGGAGCTTGGCAGCTGTGGTCTCTTGAGAGAGAAGATGATGTTGAGAGAACTTTTTTAGGGTTCTTGTCAGTCAAAAATATGATAGTGTATTTTTTTGTGTGTAGTGTAAGAAAATATATTATAGTACGATGTATGTAAAAATATGTGGTTCTTGTTTTTAGTAGAAAAAAATAAATATAAAATAAGAAGAAAAATATGTAGTTGAAATGAAAAGGTGTCATGTCACGTCATATGACATATCACATCAGTGTCATGTCGCGTCAATATCTAGTCACATAAAATATTTTATCACATCGGATATTAACGGGACATTGAATTTGATCGAACTTGATCCTTATTTTGAAATCAATTCCACTGGCTTTCATATAATTACTAGACTGTGTTTTGTTTTTTGCTAATATACCACTAGGCTGAGATAATCAAAAATAAAACAACATATATCTGGAGGTCTCACAAAATGTAAGTGCGTAATAAATGAGAGTACATGGAACCTATTATCAAAGTCTTGTGTAAAACAATCCTTTGGAATTTGTGATCTTAAACAAGTTAAAAAGGAGCCCAGAGTATTTGTGTGGTTATAAAGGCTTCTCATTAAGGGTAAAATTATAAGTTTAAGTTAAATTGTTTCCAAATTTAGAAAGGGGTCATTCTTTTTGGAACGGACCAAAAAATAAATAGGTTCACATAAATTGGAAAAGAGGGAGTAGTACAAAAGGAACTAATAACCATAAACATTGAAGCAATCTAATTGATTTCAACTTGCAACACCTCTTTGAAAGGCCGGCTTCCTTTGTGAGACCAAAGTACCTGCAAAATTAACAAACATGTTAGAGAAAAAATCCTTCCTTCTCTCCTCCTTTAGGATTTGAGTTAGAAGGGTCATGTGATCTCCATCCCCTATTGCTTGCCTCCTTTCTCCATAATACTTTCTCATCATCTTTACTAGTGTGATCTCCTCCTCACCCTCTATATCATCTAGCACCTTCATCAATTAGTATTTGACTTGGCAACTCTTACCCTCAAATAGGGTATTTGAAGTTTGTCATTATTTAGAATCCTCCTCCCTTGCATGTCTAGTTCCCAAAATGAATGTACCTGTTGTATATGCGGTTGGTCCAAGGTCAAGTTAGCTAGATGATCAGCTAACTTGTTGCCTTCCCTCAGTACATGGACTAAATGAAATACACCCCAAGACAGTAATATTTAAATTTCATCAACCTGATTGGCTATACTCCAAGGTGGTTCCCAAATTTCATCCAGCTCATTTTTCATAAGCAAAGAATCAGTTTCAATTATGCATGGAGGAAATTGCTTTGGAATAATATACCTCAGGGCCTCCAGAATAGCTTGTGCCTCTGCTATGTTGTTTGTTGCATCCTCTACTGCATCTGCCTGGGCATAGATGAGATCTCCTATTCCATCCCTAATACAAAAACCATATGAAGCTCCTCCATTGTCTCCTCTACAAGCCCCATCAGTATTGCATTTTATCCAACACACATGAGGTAATTGCCACAACACCTTAGTATAACTCAGGTTAGGAACATGATGTGCTAACTTCTCATGTAGGTCTGGCCAGTTTGCTGTGACACCCTTGATGCCTGGTCTCCTCACTTTCAGCAGCATTTGGGTAGTCTTGGCATTGCTTGGTATACTGCCTTCAAACCTGTATTTCCCGATTTGTTCCACTATTCATTTATCAATTGTACCAGCTCCTTCCCTTGTGTTTTGATCCCTGCAGGTGCACAAATTAATTCCACACAGACCTGGCAGTTGGAGATGTCAAGAAGACATGAGATAGCGTTTCTTCTTTAGGATTCCTACAACACCAACATCTTGAAGTTCTGCAGTACCCTAGCCTTAAGAACCAATCATCTAAAGGCAACTTTGCTTTCCACAACCTCCACATGAAGAAACTAATCTTGAAAGGCAATCCATTTACCTAAAATAACTTGTATAACTTGCTCTCCTCTCTTTTCTTCCTTATGTATTGTTAAGCAGACTTCACAGTAAATTGGCCATTTATTTCCAACTTCCACCAAGGCTTATCCTTCATTGAGTGATTTGAAGGTGGTGTGATTGTCTCTAGGATATGGTCAGCTAACTCCTCAGGCAGTAGCTCCCTCAATAGCACTTCATTCCATGTCCCATTCTCCACCACATCTTCCACATGCTTTATAGATTCATCACACCAATAATCTGGACCTGAAGCATGGTAAAGAGCTTCAAGTCCAGTCCAAGTATCATACCAGAAGTAGGAGCTGCCATTCTTCAGTTGCCACCACAATTGATGCTCCACCTCGTCTCTCATTTGTAGCATTTTCCTCCACAAATGGGATCCAATTCTCCAAGGAACTAGCACCTCATTAACCTTCTTGCAGTATTTGTTTCTCATAAATATAGACCATAATGTGTCTTTTGTTCTATAGTTCAATCAAAGCTTGGCAAACAATGCCTTAGACACATCATGTAAGGATCTAAAGCCAAGACCTCCCTCACTTTTAGGCAGACATAAATTATCCCATGAAGCCCAATGTCTAGCCTTTCCATTGCCTAAATTGCTCCAGTAAAACCAAGCAAACATCTTGTGTAACTCATTGATCACATATGCCGGTGGGTTAACAACTGACAAAAGATGAGTTGGCATGCTCTCCAGCACATGTGCAATCAGGACTGCCCTACCACCAATTGATAGTAGCTTACCCTTCCATGATGATAATCTCTCATGTACTTTGAAGACGATGCCCTTGTAGAAATTTTTCTGTCTCCTGCTGTAAAATATAGGGTATCCCAAATATGTGAATGGAAAGGGATGTCTTTGAAACTCAGTAATCAAATGGATTGTGTTAGCTTCATCTGTAGGTACACCTTCATGCATATAAAAGGAAGATTTTTCTTTGTTGATCTTCTGACCTGAAGCTGTCTCGTATTCCTCCAATATATTCATGATAAGCTGAACTGACCCATAATGAGAAGAACAGAAAATAATTGTGTCATCTGCCTAGGATAAGTAGTTGATGTTTTGACTCCACTTTGGCATACCAAATCCTATGAAATCAGGATTGTCAAACAAGGCATCCAAGGCTCTCCCAAGCACTTCAGCTGCTAGAATGAACAATGTAGGAGAGAGAGGATCACCTTGCTTAACTCCCTTTGAAGATTTGAAAAATCCATTGGCCTGCCCATTCAAGAGAACTGAGTACCAATTGTTGGACACTAATCTAAAGATCATGTCAATGAACACCTCTCCAAATCCCATTTGTCTCAGCACCTTTGTCAAAAACAACCATGAGACTCTATCATAAGCATTTGCCATGTCCAATTTGAATACCACATCAGATGGCTTCCCTCTCAATCTAATATGAGATATGATCTCTTGAGTTAATAAGATATTCTCAACTATGCTCCTTCCTTTGACAAAACCTGCCTAATTCAGAGAGATTAAAGAAGGCAGTAGATCTACTAACCTCTCATGAACAACTCTGGATATGATTTTGTTAGAAAAATTGCTCAAACTGATTGGCCTCATGCCAGAAAATATAGCTACATTCTTCTTCTTGAGAAGCAATACAAGATTTGTGTGGGTGATGAACTTTGGGAGTTCAGCACCACAATAGAAAGCCTTGACCATGTTGAGCACATCTTCGCATATTATCTCCCAACTCGCTTGATAAAATTGTCCCATGAATCCATCTGGACCACTGGCACTATCACCATTTAATCCAAAAACTGCTGCCTTGACTTCCTCCATTGTAGGTTCTGCCCACAACCTTTCATTTTGCTAATCAGTAATCATTTTAGGAACATGCTGAATGATGTCAAAGTTTACTGGAATTCTTTCTTCTGTGAACTGGGCTTGAAAGAAATCAACTGCCTCCTTAGCCATTCCCTCTTGTGATTCTATCCAATTGCCATTATCATCCAGTATTTAAGTGACCTGCAGCCTTTTCCTTTTACCTCTAACATGAGCATGAAAGAATTTTGTGTTTCTATCCCCATCTTTAAACCACTTCATACTAGCCTTTTATCTCCAAAATTCCTCCTCAAGGTGATAGTACCTTGTAAGATTTGCTTCTACCTTGTGTAGTTTAGCCCTATTTTGTGTTGTTGGATTCAATTCAAACTCCACCTCATGAACCTTAATAACATCCTCCAATGATGTAATTTTCTTAAATATGTCTCCAAAGGTCTCCTTACTCCACACTGCCAATGTTGTCTTCACCTTCTTCAGCTTGTTTTGAAATAAAATAAATAGATTTCCCATGCCATCAGTCACCCAATTCTCCTTTACCACATTCAGAAAAGACTTATGCTTAGCCCAGAAATTAAGAAATTTTACATGTACTGTATCAATGTTACGTGATTATAGCAAAGGAGCATGGTCTGAGCCATACTTGATCAAGTGCTCAATTTCAAGTGCTGGGAATAGATCAAGGAACTGTTGATTTGAAAATAATCTATCGAGCCTCTTAAATATGCAATCAATATCCGACTTTCCATTCCACCAAGTATATAAACTTCCCTTAAATCCTAGGTCATACAATGTACATGTGTCCACACAATGTGCAAAGTCTTCTACTTCCCTCATAGAAACAGGCATGCCTCCATATTTTTCCTCCTCAGATAGAATCACATTGAAATCTCCTCCAACAAGCCAAGGAGATTCCATATCTGAAGCTAAGTGATACATTGAGTCCCATAGCTCAATTCTTTCTATAGCATCACATTTGTCATACACTAATGTCACATATAACTCCTTGTTCAGATTTCTATGGAACAATTTTAATGTCATTTGTTGTTCCATGTCCATCACAATGTCAACCTCGATATCTTCATCAACAAAAGCCCATATCTTTCCATTCATCTTATCATAAGCAGAATGAATTTCCAGCTTCCTTCTATACTCCTCCAGCTTGTTGATGTCATGCCAAGTTTCCATCAATCCAATCAAGTAAAAGTTATGCTTTCTATGTAGGTTAAGCAATTTATTGAAAGCTTTCTATGTGTTAATCGACCTCACATTTCAAACTATAGCATTATCCATCAGATTATTTGGAATTAAAGATCACAATCATCTTTGGTTGCATCCTTAAAGGGACAC